CTGACCCTAAAGCTGCAGGTCCAGACTATACACTGACCCTAAAGCTGCAGGTCCAGACTATACCCTAATCCTGACCCTTACTCTGACAACAACAATACAGTCTGTAGATTGAGTGTTGCTACTGAAATCATTCTCAGACTTCGTGAGTCCTCTGAGTTACACTTCCCCTTGAAGCAGAAACTTGTTTCATCAAAGCATCACACAAACCTTCCTGAATTTCCTTTAGGAAGGGTTAGGGTTAGGGTTAAGATGACCCTAACCCGGTTTGGTATGTATACAAACAACTTACAGCATTTCTATGTGCGATAAAAAGACATTAACCATGAACCACTGGAACATGTGTTCTACGTCAGAGCACATTATGATGTATAAATACCCCATACAATGAAATCTAGACTTCCATCTCTGAACAGTGAAATCCATCATTGATCATTTTCACATCAAACAGAATCATAAAATACCACAACAGAATATTAGATGCTTCATAAGTTTTTATGGTGAAATACTGTATTAGAATGATGTGTGTGAGAAGACCTGCAGCCCAACCAGCTGAGCAGCATTCCTGCCAGAAGACTGAAGACTTCCAGGAAGGAAGACTTTTCTGCCAACAGGCATGCATGCCAGAGGCCCTGCAGTGGTTTACGGAGGACTGCAGAGTTATTAGTTCATATTCATAAAACTGACTTCTTCCACTCATATGCTCATACGTTTTCTAAATGACTGGATGTGTGTTTGTAATTATTATTTAGGCATATATTTATGTTTTTAATTACTCTTCTACAGTTTTTATAGTCTTTAGTTTTATTTTAACATGAATGTTGCACTGATTGGTTTTCATTTCGTTGTACTTGTTACAATGACAATAAAGATTCTATTCTATTCTATTCTATTCTATTCTATTCTATTCTATTCTATTCTATTGCTATGTTGTTCTATTCTGTTCTGTTGTGTCTCAGTCTTTAATTGGACACCAAAAGCCAAATGCAGACATGCAGTCACATAATAACTGAGCTGGTGAAGCAGATCAGAGCCATCAAGGTCAAGCGATAAGCAGAAGACGGTTGTAAAGGTGCTTACTGGCCATGTTGATCGTCCACCTGCTGATGTGTGAGCTCGTCACGGCGCCGTGCTGTTGCTGAATGTTGTCGTGCTGAGTTCAGCTTGGTGATGCAGCGAGCTGCTCGTCTCCTCCCTCAGACACCTGGTGTCATGACATACCTGAGAGCTTTGGAACGTTGTTCATCTCCTTCCTTCAGATGGTAGTTCAGCCATGAACTCATCACTTCAGCATGAATGATATAACAACTGCTATAGACACGTGATGGAAGCATGTTATGTTGTCTCTCCTCTTGGTTAGGGTTAGGGTTCACAGCGTCCACAACCAGAGCCAGCCCCCAGGCAGGGTTCTGGTTGTGGACGCTGTCCTGCTGACTCCTCAGACCTCCTCCACTGACTGGACAGTTGAAACGGGGACTTAAGGCCATGAGCAGGCCAATAACCATGTTTACACATTTGAGGACAACATATTTGTGAATTACTTTTGACAGGAAGGAGCTGGAGACTTGAAACCTCCACCTTTATTTTCACTGTGACCACATCCTGAGTCCCAGTTACAGGCGGAACCAGTCCTGACTCCAGGATGTGACTGAAGAGTGGGACGTCCTGCCCAGTGACTCCATCAACCAGCTGGTAGACAGAACGCCACCACGTCTGAACCCACTGATCCATCAAGGGAGACCAGACTCAGTACTCATGACTGAGAGACGTTAAAGAGTGATACTGGACCTTCTGATGCATGGATCCCCTCCAGTATGTGTTCCTGTTACATGACCAAGGCTGAAGGACTGAAGCCAAACTCTTCATCCTCCTGGTCAGGACCTCCTGGTTAGTTCAGGCCTGAACACACAGTCTGCAAAAGTTAGTACAAGTTTAATCTTTACTGTGATGTGTAACGTATGTATATTGTGATGTCAATAAAGTTTGGAGAAGGTATAAACTTCATCTATGAAGAATAAATCACATCTTCACAATCATTTTATTGCAACTTTATGGGCAGCAGTGCAGAAACAAACACATGCACAAAAAATGTGATAAAATGGCACAACTTTAAAGTAATCACATGCACACATATTAATTTTGGTTAAATTGATCAATTTAACCAGCGTGAAAAACAGGATCTTCATAAAGACAGAATCAGAAAAAGGAAATGAGAGTAAAGCCTTTTTAATGTCGTGTATTGTGGCCAAAGCAGCTCCTACTCTGCCAACCGGCTCCAGTCACGTCACGAGCCGACACTCACTTCACCAGATTATCCTGCAGGGCAACGAGCAACAGGCAGTCGGGAAAGATTTAAGAAAAATCAATGAAATCAATGAAATAAAATGAGACATTTAATGAGGGTTCGATCAGGAGACGAGAGCCAACACTCCTCTGGGGTGTCGGGCTGTTCAGAGCCACATATGTCCTGATAATTAAAAAGACAGAAAAAAGAAACGGCTAAAGAACGAAGAGGGAGACAAAGATGCAGGACAAGAACTGGTGGAGGGCGGTCCGGAGGGGAGGCGGGTCATCTCCACGGCCCGGCAGTTGAACTGGGAGTCAAAGGCAAAGCACTGGCTGACACCCGTTGTCATGGTGAGTGTGGTGTTGTTTCCCTGAGGGGCTTTCTGACTGTTTCCGTTCCGCTGGTGTTGTTGATTCATATCGTTCTTATGTTTTATTGTTTCCCGGAGGGGGTTGGCTTTCTGACTTTCCGGTTCTGTTGGTGTTGTTGACTCCTGGTGCTGCCACGTCCTGTCGTTGCCTCCAGGCGGTTGGCTTTTAGATTGGCGTTGATTTGTGCTGGTCCCAGTTTGAAGAACAGTAATTTGTTGTTTGCTTGGGTGCCGATGGAGGCGGTTAGTTTAGGTTTATGGTTTTATTTAGCTGTGGAGTGTTCTGGAGGTGTTTTTGGTTGTGTGGTTACTGTCTAGTTGGGTTTTTAGATTCAAGCTTTAAGTTGGCTTGTCTGTATTTATTTGGGTTGTTAGTTTCTTTTTGGAAATAAAGAAATTCACGGGTGTAGACTCAATTAAGAACTTTTATCAGAACTCATAAAGACCCACCCGTTACATTTAATAAACCAAATTATCTGTGAAGCTGACGCAAATGCAGTAACACCAATAAAAGAACTAAAATGACTCAAATGTTAAAAACCCTGAATGAAAATTTGGGACAAAAACTCAAAAGAAATTTGGAAAAATAAAACCCACAAGAAATGATTGTGCAACCCGTCAGCAACGTTTGGACCGTCTAAATCTTTGTCAGGCTTGGCAGGTTCTGGCCGCGATGCAGCTGAGCTCTGCTCCTCTACTTACAACCTCCCATGAACCCACCTTTTGGAGAAGTACAACAATTTCATGAAAAAAAACAGAAATACAAAGGAAAATAAGGGATAGCTCAGCAGGTTGGACGGGCGACCCATGAACAGGGCTGTAGTCCCCGATGCACAGGTCATGGGTTCGAGTCCGGCCCATCTACTGCTGGTCCTTTCCCTACTCTTCTCCCCATAGTTCCTGTCTCTCTCTCCACAGGACCCACACGGGGGCAGTAGGACCGACTGGGGGCAGCAGGACCCACACGGGGGCAGCAGGACCCACACGGTGTGGTGGTTCACTCTGGGGTAAAGTTAAACTTTTGTTTCTGTCTCGTCTTCCTGTTTCTGTTGGCAGCTTTTATTTTGTAGTCTAGTCTTCAGGTGATCTTTGGCAGCTCTACTTCCTGTTGTCATCTCCTCTTCCTGATTGGTGGCTC